TTTTAGTGTGTGTATATATATATATATATATATATATATATATATATATATTTATTGCATTATTAATTATACATATATTGCAACAATACATTGCATTATTTATTAAACTAAGTTGTAATCCCTTTTGGAGTACTAATATAACGCATCTAGTCATGCACAGATGGTCAGGCATTGCAGCAAAATTACCAGGAAGATCGAAGGAGACATGAGGTACTACGCCCTGTTCGGAGGCCATGGATCCACAACATGAGGGCGGTGCCCTCAACTTAGCACCAAGTGTTAAAATTCCCAACACAAGGAGGGATTAAAACAATCTACGGAGAGTAGTCAGCAGCAAAGGAAATTTTTGCGGTCGAAGAGGCGATTTCGATATACGTGCCTAAAACGACAAAGGGTCCAAGTTCGACCACAAAGCAAGAAGGAAAATAGAAATTACCGACACCAGCTTCGATCCAACCGAAGAAGCAGAGGATTGATGAAGACGATGACTATGGGGTTCCAGGTCCTTTACAGCCTCATATGATTCCGACGCCACTAAATCAACGGTCGAAGAGCTGAAACTGGTCATATTGATCGAGCATCTACCGGTTCGAAAGTATACTTAGGAACGGGATTAAATCCTGAGCTCAGGAAAAAAAACTCATTCAATTTCTTATAGCTAACATAGATTGTTTTGCTTAGTCCCACCTTGGTATGACAGGGATCCCACTGGAGATAACTACTCACAAGCTAAGCTTGGACCAAAATTCCACCCGATAAAGCAGAAGAGGAGACCCCAATACGAGATAAAACATGTTTTCATCAAGGACGAGGTACCTAAACTCCTTAAAATAGGATCTATTTGGGAGGTTAACTACCCCTATTGGTTAGCAAACGTAATGGTACTCCTTAAAAAGGGGAACAAACTAAGAATATCTGTAGACTATAAGGACTTGAATAAGGCATATCCCAAAGACCCATCGATTCTTCTTATTACTGAAAAAGAAGACTTAACTTTTCATGATCCCGGAATGCCAATGGGCCTTAAAGGAGCTCAAATGGTATCTATCGAGCCCTCCGCAACTTCACACGCTGAAGATAGACGAGCAACTATACCTGTATTTGGCAGTATCGGAGAAGCAGTAAATGGAGTTCTTGTCCGGGAAGAGCGAGGTATACAATTTTCAATTTACTTATGTTAGTAGGACTCTAGGTAATGCTGAAACTAGGTACCCTCACCTAGAAAAATTGGCGCTCGCTTTGCTAAGTGCCTTTAGGAAGCTGAAATCATATTTTCAGTGTCATCCTAAATGTGTTGTGACTACTTACCCATTGCGAAATATAATCCATAAACCCTAGCTCTTGGTACATTTGGCCAATGTGTCGTAGAAATCAGCGGGTACGATATTGAATATCGGCCACGGACAGCTATTAAATCTCAAATATTTGTAGATTTTATGGCCAAGTTTACGCTAGCCTTAATACCTGAGGAAGAAAGAGAATTGTTGGTAAACTCGGGGACCTCTTCGGGGATCTAGACCCTCTTTACGGACAGTACCTCGAACGCAAAAGGGTCCGGACTTGGCATCGTATTGAAGCTACCAACATGCAATGTAGTTAAACAATCTATAAGGAGTGTAAAATTGACTAATAATGAGGCCGAATATGAGGCTATGATTGCAGGTCTTGAACTAGCCAAAAGCTTGGGGGCGGAGGTAATCAAAGCTAAGTGCGACTCCCTCCTCATGGTGAACCAGAAGTTAATGGGATATTCAATGTCAGAGAAGAATGAATGCAAAGGTACCTGGAAAAGTTGTAGGTGACATTACATCGATTCAAGGAGTGTACTTTGCAACACATACCTCGGGATCAAAACAGTAAGGTCGATGCCCTTGCTAACTTAGGGTCGTCTGTCGAGGATGACGAGCTCAACTCGGGGACAGTTGTACAACTCATAAGATCGGTAATGGAAGAGGGTCGGTAGTGGAAGAGGGTCACGCCAAGATAAACTCTACAAGCCTGACTTGGGACAGGATAAATAAATATGTAGAATATCTGAAGACTGGAAAACTACCCTCGGATCCAAAAATATCAAGGGTCCTGCGTATGAAGGCATCCCGATTTAGTTTATACGAGGACAGAACCCTGTTCAGCAGAATATTCGATGGCCCCCTCGTAATATGTCTAGGGCCAGTAGATACCAAGTACATCCTGAGGGAAATCCACAAAGGCACCTGCGGAATTCATTCAGGCACCGAATCATTGGTTCGAAAATAATCAATGTCGGCTACTACTGGATCGATATGTAAAAGGATGCGAAGGAGTTCGTATGAAAATGTGATGAGTGTCAAAGGCATGCTCTGATGATTTATCAAACCGGGGAGTTGCTGCATTCGGTTTTGTCACCATGGTCATTCATAAAGTGGGGAATGGACATCGTTGGACCCCTTCTATGGGCACCCAGTAAGGCTCAATTTATATTGCTTATAACTGACTATTTTTCTAACCAGGTGGAAACCCAGGCATATCAAAAGTTTAGGGAGAAGGAAGTCATCGATTTCATTTGGGACCACATCATATGTAGTTTTGAAATGCCGGCCAAAATCATGTGCGACAATGAGAAACAATTCATTGGTAGCAAAGTAAGCAATTTTCTTGAAGACCATAAAATCAAAAGGATCCTATCAACACCCTACCACCCTAGTAGGAACGGACAAGCAGAATTGACCAACAAAACCATACTCTAAAACCCTAAAAAGAGGTTAGCCGATGCCAAAGGAAAATGGAAGGAAATCATGCCTGAAGTTCTATGGGCATACCGTACGACCTCGAAGTCCAGCATCAGGGCCACCCCGTTCTTGCTAGTTCATGGCACCGAAGCTCTAATATCGATAAAAGTCGGAGAACCGAGTCTCATGTTCCGATACACAACCAGGGAACTGAATGACCAGACCATGAGTACGAGCCTAGATCTATTAAATGAATGGCGCAAAGCCGCCCATGCTCCGTTGGCTGCCCAAAAACAAAGGATCGAGAGATACTACAATCGAAGGCCAACCTTCGATACTTCAATGTCGAGGACTTAAAGTTAAGAAGGGTCACACTAAGCACCCAGAATCCTAACGAGGGGAAGCCTGGGCCGAACTAGGAAGGGCCATATCAAATTATCGAGGTCACCGGAAAAGGATCGTACAAACTCGGAGTAATGAATGGTGAACGGCTACCGAATAACTAGAGCATAACTCACTTGAAGCGATATTACTGTTAAGGTACGACCCCATTCATTCCTTTTACTTACTTTTAAGCTAACACTTGTAGGTAACCAACAAGAAACAGTGCAATACTTAGGCCTAAAAGCACGCGTTGTACTCTTTTTTCCTTGAACCGGTTTAGTCCCAAATGGGTTTTCGACAAGGTTTTTAACGAGGCAACAATGGATTGTGCTAACTTAGAATTGAAGGTCGATCATGAATCGGTGTCAAAGATCACATCAACAGTGTCCAAGGCTTCTCAATGATCAACTTCGAACATTGGGGGCATTACCCTCGGACAACGACTCTAGCAATGAAAGAGACTTTGTGATCGAACGGTCTCGGCTCGATCGTTAGGATTTATTGTATTGGCCAAATGGTCAAATGAGTCATGCCCGCATAGACCGATCGAGTTCCAGCACAAAGCTTGTACACATGTGTAACTATTATGCATAAGAATAAAAAGAAGTCTCTACCTTGCAGATAAATATCTTGTCCCTTAAAATTTTTCTTTTTGCATTTCTTAAGAAATTTTCTACATCCGGTCCCCTAAAGATATCGATCCGAAGGGCCTTAATCCGAGTTCGAACGATAACTCTTACTCAGGGACTGCCGTGCAAAGACAAACTCAGACGATCCGGGCTATCAGAGCTCGGGGGCACAAGATCTATGAGGCAACGCCCGAATTTTAAAGGCTATGACAATCCCCATTTGGGACTGTTATCTTAGGAAAGCTGGGATAGCTCAGGATGACAAGCCCATTAGGTAGCACTCGAACTAAAAAGGCTACAGCCATATTAAAACGACTCGGAGACGTCCGAGATCGATAACAAAAACAAGGCTTTCGAAATTTCTTAATCAGTTCTAAAGGCTACCCTCAACAAATTATAATCTAAAAAATTACAAGTACTTTGGGGAAAACGTTTTCGGTCATACTGAACCCCCACCATGACCTAAACAAGATAACGTCGAAGGCAAGGCCTATTCAAACCACCGAACATGACCTAACTATTTTATGTTATGGCATTTCGATCTTTGCGAATTTAAATAATAAAGCAAAGGAAAACAAGACTCAAAGATTGTCGAAGGGAAAAAGAAGCCTTGTATTATACATAATGTCTTTACAAAGGCCAAACGGCATTGCCAAAAAAGTACAAAAGTACATGACTACAAAAATACAAAAAACAAAATAAAATGTACAATGCACTTAAACGGCCTGGACTTTACTGAGGGCCGCCTCATCACCAAGACCATCGGAGTCCTCTCTACCTCCGGATCTTTCGGATCAGAATCTTCCTCTTCTTCATCCTCTGGGTAAGCCAATTTATTGGCCTCGGTCTCGAGCCTCTGAGCAATCTTGATCTCGGCCGACAGATCAAATACCCGAGCATGAACCTCCTCGAAGGACTCCCTTCAGGACTACCGCTTCTTGTATTAGATGATGTCTTTCAAGATGTCCTAGGATACCTCGACATCACCCCTATACCGGGCTACCATCTCATCAGCATCGACTTTGGTTATTTCAGCCACCGACTTGGCCACTTTGAGCTCCTTGACAAGGGCTTCCCGATTGGCAACAACCGAGCCTAGTTCGGATTGGAGTTCTTTGGCTTTCTGGGACTGTTCCTCGGCCTTCTCCCTCATTATTCGAAGTTGAGCCTCCACAGAGGCCAATTGTGCTTGGGCAATTTCCTTTTCCAAGACCAAGTGGTCCATTTTGCTTTTCCACTCCTCGGCTTCGGTCTTTATCACATCCACCTCAGCCTGGAGCTGGTCAATCCAATCAAGATTTTATTGGACCTGTGAGTTCGAACCATTAGTCACCATGTCTCACACATCATTACTACCCTAAAAAATTCTTCTTACCAGCTCGACCAGGTCGGCATTCTCCTTCCGAGCCACCTCTAGCTTAGCTCGGAGGCTCTTAGCCTCCCCTTTACGTTGCTCGCTGAGTAGTATGTAAGTATCTCTCTTTTCAGTGAGCCCTCATACCTCAACCTCAAGCTAGTTCAGCTCGTCCCGGTATCGTAGAAAAGTATCATGATGAAGCATCTAGTCCTACAAAAACAAAGATAAATGTTATGACTATCTATAAATTAGTCTAAGTAAAAATTAAAAGTCATCGAGAGGTATGTAAAGTTACCCGATTTAGTGCCTATTGTGCTTAATTTCATAGGTAGGGCGCATCCACCTCGTTCATCTTGGCTTGGTTTTCCTCGGTCACCATACACTGAAGGTAACTGGCCACCCCTATAGGGGAAAAGAGGACCCGGGCATCCTCCAGAATAGAGATGAAGATCGATCATTTTCGGTTAGGATCAACACTCGGAGCTGGGAACCGATTTATTAGTTTCGGCCTTGAGGAAGGCCCACTTGTTCTTAAAGATGCACTCTTCCTCGGAACCTCTAAGTCACCTAATCCGATGATGTCCTCTGTGGCAGTAGAATCGACACAATCAAAAAAAGTAACGGAAAGGGTAGTCCGCTTCGTGGGACCCCTCGTTGGGATGTTCTTTCACTGTCTGAGCATCATTGAACATATACTTAGTGAACAAAGGCGATTTGGTGATATCTATCATACCGAGTACATCCTTTGAGGGCATTACCCACATCCTGGGAGGCCTTGGCCACCGCCTCCTTGTTGGCCTCGACCATTGCCTCCTCGTCGACCTCGCTGATGTAAGGCAGATCGGCCTCGCCTCTCTCTGGTTCGGAGGCCTCTTGTCCCTCGAACTGCGACTGCACATGGGCTACTAGTTCAGAGGTTTATTCTTCTTCAGATTCGTCCCTCAGTTAGTTGAGTGAATCTGAGGGTGGAGCTCGAGCACTGGTATTTTCTTTGTGCTTGTGTACCAGCCTTCTTTTTGTTTTCTTCTTCTTTTAGATCAGAGAAATCAAAGCCCTCTTTGTTATTTTCTCATCGGCTTGTCTCGAAGTAGGGGACTCGAGAGGCAAGTCCTCGTCGCCAATAGGAGGCCTGAGCTCGACATCCTTAGAAAACCTGAGATAGAAAGTAAAGATAATTAGGACATGATAGTAAAAGGAGAGGCCTAACAAAGCCTGATCGCAAAGGGGATTTTACCATGGGAACAGGCCTTCCAACGACTCTTCGAGAGTTTGCGCCACGAACACTCGGAGCAGAGCATCTGAGAAATGATGCCCTTGACCCACCTCTCGAGTCGAGGAATAGCATTTGGAAGCCGAGCAACGGTTGCACCATCACAAGCACCAATAATAATAAGGAAAGTAAACATAAAAATCAACATTTGAAGGGAATGTCCACTTACATTTTGTGTTCCACTTCTCGGGGAACGGCATGCATTCCACCGGGATTAGGTCTGAGGTCCTCACCCGGACAAAATGGCCTTACCAGCCTCGATCGCGGTCCTCATCGATACTAGTGAACGGGGCTTTGCTGGCCTGGCGCACAAGCTTTATCAAACCCCCTCGAAATAGTCGGGGACTATACAAGCAAAGCAAGTGATCCACGGTGAACCGGCAACCATCAATTCTGCTCATGAAGAACCAGAGGAGGAACACATCCTCCAGATCGAAGGATGGATTCGACCAAGGCACACCTCATATCTCTGCAAAAGTCTAAGATGACCGAGTTCACCGATCCCAATGTGATGAGGTAAGTGTAACCACTCAGGTATCCCTCGACATGGGTGGTAATGTCCTCCTCAGGATTAAAGACCACTACGGTTTTACTAGCCCAGTTGCAATCAACCCGAATCATGGGGAGGACCTCTTTGGTTATAGAATAGATGTATCTCGAGAAGTCTTCCTACCAGTCCGGTATGGAAGAAGGTTTTTAAACATAAAATTATTATTTACTGAGCATTCTCCGGGGATGAACATTTTCAAAGGGGGTTCTTGTGTTGGTTCATCGATGGTAGCACACAAAACAGTTTCTTCAGCCTTAGAAGCCAGGCGCGAAGCAGAATGTGTTTCTTTTAAGGGAACATTTTTTGAGGTCTTTGCCATTTCTTTGAAAAATGAAGGAGAAATAGAAGAAAAGAGGAGGTTGAAGGATTTGGATGGAGATGTATGTAAGTTCTTGCAAAATATCCCAAATAAACCAGAGTATAATTGCTATGGAGTATTAAATTTCAAAGATACGAGGGTAGAAGGTTTTGAGGTAAAGTTAAAATGAATAAATTAGGGGGTATTTATAGTTCTCAAGCGACGATTCGCATCCAGGAGTGGCTGACCGACAACTAACAAGCATTTAATGCCATTAAGACTTGACTGACGAGACGTTTTATTCATTTTGTCATTTTTGGGGTGGAGTATCGAAGTAAGAATCGGGAGCTCATGTCATTTTTCATCATGTACTCTCCAAAAATGAGGGGACTATCTGTATACGGGTAAACCCGGTCTTGAATTACATCCCGGTCTCTGACATGATAAGCCAAGCTTGAGATACGGTAACAAGGGGCCTAGATCAAGAGTAGGGATTTTATCAATTCTGAGTCCGAATCATAACGCCTACCCTCAAGGATATTGGGGTCGTGATTAGGGATCGGTCCTAGCCTTGTTCAACTTCGAAGAACATTGTCAAGCTCGGCCAATAGAAGATCGTGATATTAATATCACGGCGGAGATCTCAGCATATACCGACATGAGATCAACAATTAGTTAATTAGGGGATATTTACCTTTTATAGAGTTGTACCTAATATAGGGCACCCCTACTATACAAAGGGGGTCTAATTACTTGTAAAAGACATTGTAACACGCAATCCAAAGCAGTATATTATTATTTTCTTGCTTTAAGCTCGTGTTCTTCTATATCTTGATATCGACCAAATTGCATCCAGTTCAAGTGTGGCTCACTTTCCAAGACTAAAACTGTTCAAGTCGTGTGGTTTAAATTTGTTTTATCATTGTTTATTTCAATTGCAACTTAAGTTATCGCTTTGTGTCGAGTTAATCTACGTATCCTTAAAACCACTTACAAATTCAATTGTTATCCGATTTTGAGGGTAAACAAGGGTGTGTGTGTGTGTGTATATATATATATATATATATTACAACAATACATTGCATTATTAATTAAACTAAGTTGTAATCCCTTTTGGAGTACTAATATAACATATCTAATCATGCACAGATGGTCAGCCATTGCAGCAAAATTTCCAGGAAGATCGGACAACGATATAAAAAACCAGTGGCATGCTCATCTTAAGAAACGTGTGAATACAAATACCAATTCATCAATATCAACAGAGCAATTTACTGAATCTTCTCTATCTGTAGAATCACAAAATGATCACTCTTCTAATTATAAAGTTTCAGAACATGAAGCTGACAATGATATGAAAGAGTTGTCGTCTGCTAGTACAGATCCAATTGATAGAATATTCTGCAGTAACTTTGCGGCCAATGTCCTCAGAGTTCTCATCAAATGGAATGGAGTGGACAGAAGAAGATCATATCAGGTCAATGGATCAACTTTCAAGCCTCAACTCAGCAGAACCACGTCCATATTTCTTCAACTTTTACTGGACAAAACCCATTGTTTACCTTGAAAATGATAACCACAATTATATTTGATTCTATGGTTCTAAAAATACGTGATCTATCTTAATACTAGTTGTTCAGCAATAGATGCTAAGTGTAAGAAAAGAAAATAAGAAATGCAAACCAATAGGGCCACAAGATTGGGCCTCGAGCTGGCTGGAGCAGGGCCTCGAGGTCTAGATGGTGCTAATAGCAATGAACAATTGATGAAGAATTAACGATGATGAGGGCCCCGAAGATGACCTTTACCGGTTAATAATGAGCGATAAATGAAGAACAATAAATGAAGAATGGATAAATAAGCAATAAATATGAAAAACAATTGTGTTACCAAAAAGCAGAGAATGTTGTATTGTATTTAATGTGAGTGTATTCAATGATTATCCCAGCCTCTTTACAAGATGGTAAGGGCCCTCTTTATATCGGAGGGGGGATCCTTACATAGTACATGTCTAATCATGATGGGGAAATGCTATTGGTATAGCTGTATAACGGTTCAATGTGGATCTGTACTATTCTCTGCAGACTCTGTCAGTCCCCATCACGTGCCCTCGGGGGTCTTCCGCCTTTTCATAACGGTCGTCAATTTTCATACTACCTCGAAGTGAGTCATAATGAGTCTTCGACATGCCCTACCAAGGCGAGTGCTTCGAGAACGAGCCTTGGGTTGTTCTTCGATCCTATCAAGGTCAGGCTCGAAGATGCCATGGAAACCTTAAAATCAGCCTTCCCTGATTTTAACCTCATAAAGATAGTCCTCGTGTTTCTTGAAATGAAATAACAAGGAATAATTTGAATTCCTCAACTCTTCAATACATCCATCATTATGTTAGTTACACTACGTGATCGGTTGATGTGACAAAAAAGGGACGTTTCAAAAGTCACGTTCACACAGTTCTGGGAAAGCCTCGAACTGATCACAACGATTGGCCATCCTTTGGGTTTCCTCAGTGCACACTACTGATCTCAATAAATACCTCAATCCTTCGCTCTTTATTCTCCATCATATCTCCGAACTTTCAACAGCTTTTCTCACTTCTTTCCTATGCTTGTTTCTCGCCCAATTTTTCTCTTTTCCTCTGAAATCTTTTAGTAGAAATGGCGAAGACCTCTAGAACCGTCCCTCAAGGTGGTAAAGATTCTTCGTCTTCATGCTCATCTAATGGAAAAACCATAACACCTCCTAGTCTTAAAGAATGCATTCCCAGAACCTGTGAGACATCCTCCGATTTTTCAGTTGACAAGCCTTCTTCGAATCGAGGCAGTGCGAACCCATGTCCCCATACATTAGTCTGATCACCGATATTGGGAAGGTAAAAACTGATTGCCACTGGGGAGAGGCGGTGCAAATGGAGGTTCCTTCTCAGGAGGAAGATATAACGACACACAAACCCTTTTTCCTTAGTGCAAATACGTATCCTTTTACCTTGGGTCCGGTAGAGCCATCCTCGTCATCGATAGACCTTGTAATCCTTGATTTATGTGGACAATATCGGGTGACACTCGGTCAATTCATCCATCATTTTGGCATGTTGTCTACATGATTAGGCATTTTGCAAACATGGCTGAGGGGTACCTTTTACCCTTGATCATCTGATTAGGATGTACAACCCCGACTGTATTGAGGCGGCTTGGTTAAGCTTTAGCGTCGGGCTCCAAAGGCCTTCTTTGCCTGTACCGATGAAGGCACGGACATGGGGTGGATGAGTCTCTTTATCTGGGTTAGGACCTCAGATTTAATTCCTACTGAGAGGATGTCATTCCTCGAGGAATGGAACATGAATCGTAAGTGAATATGTTGATTAACTATTTTTTCATTTCTTCTGACCATTGTCCCTCTTGAACTAACTTCTTTTATTGGTGCAACCCTTGTGTGGTACCCTAGTGCGGTTAAAGATCTTGCAGGCTGGGTTTACCAGCTCGATTCAATCTACACGTATGATAAGCGTGTATGGCGTGATCTGGCCAAGGCCTGATGGGAAGCTAAAAACCACGATGAGGTTTTTCTCCTGCCGTACTTGAGCTCGCTATAGGACGTACCCCTTAACTGTATTCTTAACTTTTGAAACTGCCTTTTGCATTTGTGCAGGCCTAGGAGATGCCTCTTTTATGAGGGAAGATTCCTCTAGGGAGGCGGATACTTCAAGTCTTGCCAAGGAGAAGAACAGAAAAAGAAAATTGTTGAATAAATCCTCAAAACTGAAGAAGGCAAAAGTTCAAAAGCCTGAGGTGAATTTAGTGGCCCTAACTTCGGGAGCAACAGAGGGCCCCCGAGCTGGGGTCGGAGAGAAAGATGACACCCCGCTAGCGTCCGGGGAAGAAGGAAGCGTGAGCGCTTCGGATCTTGTTGAGCTGATGGTTGTTGAGCCGACGATAAATAAACCAGAAGTTGTACATGTTGTCCCATCTCGAGCAGAGGAGGCTCTTGAGGATGGGTCAGATGATGTTTCTGAGCCGTTTGACAGCGAAAACATTTCTCGAGCCTAGGGCGTTTGATAGATGAGTTAGGGGAGCCCGGTTCTGAAGTTCCCCGGAGGCAATGTGAAGCCTCGATCGATCCAGCCAGAGTTATTGATGTAGGTGACTCTTCGCCAGGTTCGACACTTCCTCCGAGGGGGATATGATATGCCAATAATAAGGAGATTTCCGATGCAGGGGCATCCCTCGGAGGGAATGACTTGTTTGAAGGGCTCCTCACTAGGGTCAGAGAAATCCCCGATCTTAACGCCTCGCTCATTTTTTAGGAAGCCGAGAGGCTCCAAAAATAGGTAATCATTCGTCACCTATGCTTTGAGCTCTGATCCTCATCTTCCTAATTTTGTCCTTTTATGCTTTCAGATTATAGTGCTTTACAATCAGGCCTTTGCTAAGTTCCAAGCCGAGTTGGCCCAATCTGAGGAAGAGTGTAGGAGGCTCTCATCACAGGCTGACGGGTTCAGAGCTCTTTATACCAAGGAGGAAGAACTTTGTGACCTTCAGGCTCGTTTGGAGACGTTCTCTCGAGAGCGGACCGATCTTGCCAAGTAGGTAATACGGTCTTCGCATGTTTTTATTTCCATGCTTGTTTGACCTTAGTATTTAACAACTTTGAGTTGATCTTTGCAACTTGAGAAGAAAGAGGTCCTGATGAGGGAGGGGCTCAGAGCCAGGGAAATTGAGATTCTTGGGCATAAGCAGCGTGTGGACGAGATGGCCTCCGAGAGAGATACCCTCCAAGGGAAGTTGACTTAGGTTGAGCGTTGCCTTCAGGAGGCGATAGAGGATAGTGGTAAATATAAGGATCTCCATGTTGAATCGGTTGCCGCGCTATCCGTAGCCAAGTCCGAGGCCGATGCGCTCATGTCCTCATACCGAAAAGATGTCGCTGCTACAAATGCTCGGGCTAGGAAGGTCTTTGAGGATGCCGAGTTTGAACTGGCCCGAGCCCTGGATCATGCCCGGTTAGGATCTCGTAGATAGGCTCTCGAGGATGTATATGCAAGGCCATTGATTTGTCTGCTAAGATCGAGAAGGTGAAGGCCTTAGAGGAAGAGTCGGTGGAATCGCTTACTTATGATGAGGATTCAAATAGTGGCTCAGAGAGCGGTGGAGATGAAGAAGAAGTCCCCGAGGGGAAGGGGACGTTGATGACCAGGGTGCTAAGGGTCAAGCTGTCGAGGGCACAGATCTTAAGGGAACTCCATCTAACCAAGTGACTCCAGCCGAGATTTAGGCTTTCTTTTGTTTCTGTGTAAAGGCCCCTCGTGGGCTTTGTAAACATCTTTGACCTATATAAGAATTTCTTTATTGCACCTTCGATTTGTGTTTAGCACCATTCTGCCTTTGTTTGCGAAGAATTCAAGTGTACGACTCTAATGATTAGTCCAAATACTGGATCCGGAACATCACAAACCCTTAGATTATTAATTGTTTGATACAATGTTTCTTAAAGTCCTTTGTTACCTTTCTAACTAATATTGGATTGATTTGATGCGAGCTAAGGTCATCGAAACTTCTAAGCCCGAAGTGGGTGAGAGCTGGGTCTCGTTGATGGTCCTCGATTGAGAGTTTTCTCGAACTAACCTCTGGACTTAGCTACCGGGGGTGTTTGCTGGATTATCTGAAAATAATGATAGCCTTTAGGCTTTTACAAATAGTATTCGAGCGAGGGTTTGCTCGAAATCAGGTAGCCCTTGAGTGAAGATTTGTTTGAATTTGAAATAAAGATAGCCCTAGGGCTTTATACACAGTCCCCAAGTGAGAATTTTCTCGAACTCATGTAGCCCTTGGGCTTGATAGTCGAGTGAGCGTCTGCTCGAGTTCGAAATGAATACAGCCCTGAGGCTTTTTTGACTGGCCCTTAGGCTCTTACGCATTGGCCCTTAGGCTCTTTAGGCTGGCCTTTAGGCTCTTACGTGTTGGCCCTTAGGTGTTTTTTAGATTGGGTCGATGCGGCCTCTAATATGGCTATAGTGTTCCCTCATTTTGGCTAAAGACTTTTGAAGTTTTGATTATAGCTTGGCATGTTTTATGTTCGTCCGACTCTTCGATGCCTCAAACGAGAACCTCGATTATGAGTCAATATGTGACGGTAATTGAGTACCTCGAGAGGCTCGCTCAAAGGTTGAGTTTTCGAAACCTTTTCATCGAAGGTTGATTATTTTCGAAGCCTTTTTATTGTTTGAAGCTGATATTATCGAAGTTTCTTTGCTTATGCCGAGGGTAGCCTGATTAACTGGTTCTTTTCCAAGTATTTTCGAAGTATTTGGAGGCTTTTAATTTTTATGGTGGCGATCGGACGTCTTCGAGCCGCATTAGTTTGGACGGAGCCTTTTGGTACGACCGTAGTCGATAGTCCCCAGGTGAGATGATCTCGGCATCTATATCGAGGGTATGTCTTATCAGGGGTCTTACAAGTTTGATATATAGCCTTGGTCCTAATGTCGGGGTTATGCCTTTTTAAAGTCTTATACGTTTTGGCATGCCTAGTTGAGGTCTTATAGATTTGGAGTTGCCTCACTGAGGGCTT